CAACAACCCATTGGCTTCAAAGATCCTCAATTTCCCGATCATGTATGCCTCCTCAAGAAAACACTATATGGCTTGAAACAATCACCTCGTTAATGGTTTACCACTATCTCCACTTTCTTTAAACAACGTGGATTCCACACAAGCAAATCTGACCCTTCCCTACAAATCCACTCGACTCTTACCGAACAAATTTTTATTCTCATCTATGTTGATGACAGGATAATTACAGGCAACCGTATAGATGCCATGCACTCCCTCACTCAGCAACTTATAACAAGTTTTCAAATAAAAAAACTCATGGAAGTCTCCAGGTTTCTTGGAATTCAGGTAGAATGCTCTAACAACTGCATGATACTACATCAATAAGAATACTTATTGAAGATCCTCCAAGATACCTCCATGTTTCATTCCAATTCAGTTTCCACCCCTCTACTAGCTAAGAGGTATTATCATCCCACCGTTGATGAATCCCTCGCTAACCCCACCAAATATAGGCAAATTACAGGTGCTCTCCAATACTTGACAGTTGTCAGACTGAACATTGCGTTCGCCGTTAACTTTATATGTCAACATATGCATCACCCAACGTTACATCACAATCAACTTCTCAAACGTCTCCTACGTTATTTAAAAGGTACAATGGACTCTGGTATCCCCATTTACTCATCCTTCAAACCTGCTCCGATGCCGATTGGACCAGCGACTCATCCAACAAGCAGTCCTTTATGGGTTTCTGTACCTTTTTGGGCAATACTCCTATCTCATGGACTGTTTAGAAACAAACAACCCGTTGCCCGCTTGTCAACTGAAGTTGAATATAAGGCACAAACAACCGATACATCACTTAGGTTTGGCAAGTAAGAATTTTATTTTTAAATTAAATCAGAATTTGTAGCCCATTCAGCCAGCTGGAGTTCTACTCATGTTGTCGTGTTGAGCCATAACGAATTAATATCTACATCAACTATGTAAAACTTCTAGGACTTGACCCCCATCTAATTTCAAATATGTCAACTATAAAATTTTCTTGTGGGAATATAAATATATTAAAAGTTTCAAACGGGTTACAGATGCTGGACTTACCAAGCAATGCATCTAAATTCTCTTAATCTTGCTCCCAAAGCCCCCTGAGACTTGCTCTATCACTTAAAACACTAAAACCTTAATGCTCTTATCAGTCAAAATATCTATTTTTTTGCAATATGCATGTTTTATGATTCAAATAATCAAGCAGAAAGCAATCTAATAAGCCAAATAAGATAAGAATCATAACATAAAATCATTTTTAGTTACGAGTTGGAAGCTAAGAGCTGGATAAGAAGAGAGTGTAATTAGTATAATTTCTTCACTTCATTCTATTTGGGGAGAGGAGAATAGAAGGAGAGCGAAGAAACAACACGAAAGGCCTATTTGTGGCACAATTCAGGGTGGCAACTGCTAAGTTTTGGACCATAAGTTTTGCTCTTTGGACAAAAATATGCAATGTAAATTTACTTGCAAGTAGTTCTAGTATTAAATTCAACCAACTAAATTACAGTGAACTAACAGAACTCACGGTACCATGTATGCAAAGAGATCAAACATACAAAACATTAGAGCACACAACTAAAATTATATCAATACACATGATTTATATATTTAGTGATTAAAATTATTAAATTTGCACTAATACGAGTAGGGTTGTAAACGAATTGAGCCGCACTGAGCAAGAGCTTGTTGGAGCATGAGTTTGTTCGTCAAAACCTTTCTGAGTTTAAGCTTGATCCAAATATTTATAATAGTGTTCAACCTCACTTCATTTAAGAGAAAAAAATATACCTATTTGAACTCAATTTGAGCTCGGATTACTCGGCTTATTTGTTAATCAAATGAGGTTTATTAAGCCTACTAACAAGCAATGCTATTGAACAAATTATTAATTAACTAAACAAACTTTATCGAGCATAGTAAGGAGTGGTCCATTGAGCTTTAATAAAAAAGACTTCCATTGAATGAACCGCTAAATAAATAAGAATTTTAATGAGAATAACAAGTCTCTTGAATAATCAAATTAAATAAATTTGTAATCGAATCTCATATATTATCAAACCTTAATCAATTTTCTTAATGTGCTTGTTTAAGAACTTTTGTTATGTTATGGCTCATATACCATATAGGGACAGACGCTGGAACGAAGCGGAGCGGAGCGGAGCGAAAGAATCTGTCCAAATCGGGAAATTACGTTATGTGAGTTGGGGCTATACGGTACAGGGGTAATTTGGGAATTACATATTGTACTGTAGGGTTTACTCTAGGATTATAAATAAACCTGCTTGTAATCCTAGGCCTTTGAGAGAGTTGTTATTCTGTATTCTTTTCTGAA